TTCTGCTGGTCTGTGGAAAGGAGCGGTTAACGCTAATTGTTTTCATTTTTTACCCTTTTTCTCTCTTAATTTCTTTTAACATTTTCTTTTTCTTTTTTCAATTTTGCATGCATATATCTTGTAATCTGAACAACTAATCTGAAGACAATACTGTGCTATACAACAAATACTGTCAAATTCATATTGTTTTGTTTAGTGAAATTCTGTATCATTTGTAATTTTTTCTTTTTAAATACTACTCTATATTCTCTTTTAATTTTAAAAAATAAAAAATAAAAAAACCCCAGCCACCACCACCTCCAAGGGCCTCTAGACCAACTGAAACTGGTATTCCATGAGATCCATACTGAACCTCAAGCTATATCAATTTAAGGTTTCTTTTCCTGTTCCTTTAACCAATAGTTGTTCAATGCCCTGCACTAGTGTTATTCGCTAGTAACGAACCCAGGAAAACATTCTAACAACTGGCTTAACTGGCTGATTTTAAACTGTGGTGGAAACTTGAAGAAAAGAGTCTTAAGATAGAGTCACAAAGGAAAAGATCCCCCGGTGCATTTGGTTCTGTGTAAAAAGTGGAACTTTGGCTGACAGCTGAAAGACAACAAATACCCATCTCTATAGTGGAACAGGGTACTCCAGACAGAAGAAACACTACCTATAAATATCTTAATGCTGAAGAAGACCTGCGTTTGTTCAGATCAGGCACTGAATGCTTCTGATTTGCCTGATGGCAAAAGGTTACAAAGTGGGAAAAGCTGTTTCTCTGCTCTCACAAGCCACCGCCCCCAAACCTCAGCACCTGGATGATGCTAACATACATCGTAAGGATCAAATATGTAGATTCTCCTAAGTCTAAGACGAGCTTCCAAAAGACCAATGCCCCCTTAGTGCTGGAGAATGCCCTTCCAGAGTTGGGCTCCTTCTCCTAAGACACAGAGACTCAAGAGGACCTCCCGCTGGCTGCAGACCCCTCAGTCACGTTCAGAACGTCTGAGGTAGCTCTCCGCGTTCCATCAGTGTCACTTCTGGATGCCGGCAAACGGGGAGAGCCCCAGAGAGGCTAGTGAGCGAGCACAGGCAAACCAGTTACATGTTCAAACTAAAAAGAGAGTATGAAAAAACTGATTTTTAAAATACTGTATGAAACTGAAAATCTGTATTAAACTAGTATTTTATAGCATAAAATATAGTGTATAGTAAAATATAGTATTTTAAAATGCTACACTAAACTGAAAATCAGTTTTGTAGTCAAAGAGGGAGGTAAAATGATGAAAGGACAGGAGGGGGGAGCGCTGCTTCATTGGTTGCCAACAGATGCACCACGAGAAGGATCTGAAATAACAAGTGTCCTTTAGCAGCAGAAAACATCACATCATCCTTATATTTAGGCTGCAGCACTGAACTGCACATCACCATTTTATCCATTTTCTCCTTGTTTAAAATTTACCTTATTTCTCTGTGTCTTCTGAGTATATACATTGTGAACACTGGATTTTTTTGCCTATATTTCCTAAATAACTACAGTTCATTTTATGTATTTTACACTCAACTGGCTAATTTACAAATTATACAGATAATCAAGTAACTGAAAGGTAGTTTTCAATGAAAACAGTACAGGGTCCTCAGCTGAGGTGCCAGTCTTTTAAACCAATCTCTGGCGTCACTGTTATCTTCCTTTCTGCCTCTTCATGCATGATAGTCTCTAAATCATAGTCTTAAGTAGTCCACCCCTTTTCCCCACCACCCCAAATTCAAATCTCAAACCACATACTTACTACTCTTCCACATCTGCAACTATTTCTGAAGGCAGAGTAGCTGGGTGCACAAGAGGATGTGGGCTGGGCCGAGAGAGTTGGATTAATATCGTGGCTTGACCAGTTCAACTTACCGTACGTCTTCATTTGCCGGTAACACAATCTATAGCCAACTGCTAACCAAGTCAATATGTGGTAAGACTAACAACCACCCTAACTTGCCTTGATAATTATTCTCCTTTAACTGACATAATATTCAATATACTCTTGTTGAGAGCAATAATGTTAAAATTGATGCCTTTAGGGCTACAAGACAATTGAGTTTCAGCCAGATAAAATGACTCCACACCAACAGGGCATCACAGAGGTGCACTGCTTTTAGACACATTTTACAGTCCACCTGTACAAAACTGCTGCACGTAATTATTTTCTAAGGTGCTTGCGCGTACTTTAGCATTAGTACATAAAATTTTGAAAATATTGGCCAACAATCAAGTAACACATTTAGAAAAAAGGGGTTTATCTTTGTAGTCTAGCTATATCACACACACACACACACACACACACACACACACGAGTATTTTTTCACTAATTGAAAATCGTTTTGAGTCCTACATCCTTTTGCTGCTTTTGAACATAAGAACTATTTTTACAAGGAATAGGTATATTTTAAATGATGAATGACAAAAATCATAATTTAATTAAAATCTATAGTCCATCAATTACATCTATCAATAAAATAAGACATACACTAAACCTTGACTTCCCTCAATGTTAAAAAAAAGATCTATGGGAGGTGGGGAGATGGCTCAGTAGAATAAGTGCTTCCCTGGCAAGCACAAGGGTCTGAGTTCAAACCCTGGTTCCGCAAAAAAAAAAAAAAAAAAAAAAAAAAAAAAAAAACTGTGGTTTTTCTGAAAATGTAAATTGTGTACCCTGAATGGAAAAACGGTATATACAATTTTATATTTTTCAAATTTTACATTAAATTAGCAATGGCTGGAGATACAGCTCAACGGCACAGTACTACCTGGCAAGTGCTCCCGAGTTTGATTCACCATATATAAATTAAATTAAATTAAATTAATGAAATTAATTATAACTTAAGTGTCATGTTTTAGGGCGTTTCTTATATAAAAATATTTTACCTTCAAGTAAGATAGTTTATACATGTTAGTTTGTGGGTCTTTGCTAAATTTTTCTTTCATATTTAATTTCTCTTGCAAATTTTAATCCTTAAATTCAGGGATTTCGCACTACGCAAGAAATATAAAGTACATTTCTAAAGAGTACACTTTCTATACCTGCCTTAGAGGTGCACTGAAACGTGGGAAAAAAGGAACACCTACATGATATTTTACGGAAGGACCGGGGCAGCTCCATTCACGGCAGACTGCAGCGCCAGCAGAAGGGCCGGCAGCTCACATGCACGAGGCTGCTTTCACGGCAAGCCAGCACAGCCGCACACTCGCCGTCGGACAGAAACGCGGGAGGCGGATGCCCACCTCACCGGACGCAGAACGTGGCGTGGACCTTACGCGCAGCACTGATGGAGAAACGACGTTACCGTGAAGACAGTAAAACCGCGGTACTCCACCGTAGCGAAACACCTGCAGGCTTTGAAGGGCGCCCTTAGCCACACTCACAGTCCCAATTCAGACTTCTGTGAGGGGTTTCCTCCTTTGCATGTGGGGGAAAAAGGAAGCCCCAAACAGACAGCTGGCCATATTTCGGACACGGCATGGAATGATGTGGCGCTGCATTGGCGTCAGGGCCAGAACAGGCGGGGACCACAAAACGAGTCCCTTGCTTTATTTTCTCGGCCCCTCCTGCTGGCCCTGCTGGCCCTTCATGTCCTCTGACTACTTAGGGCCTTATTTGCCCCATTACCCTACTAGAGTTGTCCTCATCCTGAGGCAAATGAGATAATGTTGTGAACATGCCCTCGAAACCGAAAATGCAACCTGTGGCTGTCAGCGCCATCCTCTCGTCTGACGGCCGCTGTCTGTGCCCTCCACGCGAGGGGCTCGCTGAAGTAAGTGCCCTGTCCTGTGGGCACAGGTCACTGCCTTCCCTCCTCCTTTCTCCACGTCCCCTCACCACCGCCCTACTGCTGTCCTTTCCTGCCCCAAGCCCATAAATAGCATGCAGGAAATGACGGGACTCTGTGTGCTCTGATACAGGTTAAGCAGGGGCCAGGCACGAAGCTCCCCTCTGCCACATCCCACGCTGGCAGCCCTGGTCCTGCTCAGCGCGGCGGGCCTCAGCTACAGCACTGATACCCAACTCCAGCACCACACCAGGTGGGTGGGCGCAAAGCTCTTGTTTGGAGGGGTCAGTGCTCCTGGCACGAGCCCCATTAGAAAACTCAAATCCCACTTGAGACCCACCTTCTCAAACCGAGGCCTCCCTCAGCACTCAGGCAGCGTGTCATCACCGTGGCTCGCGCTTGTGGATCCCAGGGCCTCCGGCACGCTCCTCTCAACATCTCCCCCCGGGGTGGAAGGAAGACAGGTGGCCGCAAGAACAGGTGAGAGGCCAAGCGTCCACTGACAAGCATCCACTTAGTACTGCCCGAAACATACCAGAGAAGACAGACTGGCTGGGCTGGGACGAAGGCCTGAGGCCCCCCCACAGGGCTGCGGGCTGTGAGATCAGAAGCGTCACTGGTGCAAAGCAGAGGCTGCGGGCTGCACGAACAGGTACTGTGAAGACCAATCTGACAGAACTGCGGCTCTCAGAATGGAACCTCTGACAGCTACAGGGGATGTCTCCCAGGTCACACAGGCAGGGAGTTTACATAGCTTCCAGTCCTTCCTTTGATACAGATAAATGCACAGGAAGTCGTGCGGGTGTACAGACGACAAAGGAAAACAGCACGTCTCTCACTGAGCGTGAGGAGGAGCCCACAGATGGAGTGAGACCTCCAGCTTTCACACATCGTCGCCCACCTGGAAGAGCCCTCCTTGTTAACAAGGCTTCAATAGTTACTAACACATAAGGGAAACAGACCCACTTTGTTGGGAAGGAGTTGAATGCAAAACGCATAAATGGAGGTGAGCTAGTGAACAGGCCACACCCCTCTACGAGGCCACAAGCCCAGGCTCCACGTGCCCACTGTGCCAGCTTCCTTCCCAATCCTGGACCAGACAAGAGTGCAGGCACCTGGCTTGCCGGGCCGGGAAGGAGAACGTGCGCCCTCGGCTCTGCTGGCCTGCCCGTCCACAGGCTCGGGCCCTGCCCTACCTGCAGAATGTATCCTCGGACGTAGTCCCGCAGCGTCCAGCCCAGGCCATGCAGGATGTGCAGCACTTCCTCCTGCTTCAGGACACTGAAGAGCCGGTCCAACAGGATCTTCAGCCTCACCGGCACCGCCTGAGTCCCATAGAGCATCAGGCTGCTGATGTCGAACACCACGTTGGACTGCACGATTTCCACCTGGGTGGGGTGGTACAGGTGCTGCGTGCTGAGCTTGTCCAGGGCTGGGGTCATCCCACAGAGGTTGCCAGGATGAGAAGGGACAAGAAAAGAGAAAGGATGGAGTCAGAGAGAGTGGAGATGTCACTGCATGTCACAGGGCCCCAAGTCTACCAACAGGTCCTGCTGGGCCAGGGAGGTCTTAATTGAGACCCTTTCTTTCCCTTCCATTTTTCTCTTTGAATCCCCCCTTTTCTCTGTAATTTAGGGTTTATAAATTGTAGACAACAACAAATGAAAAACACAACTTGCAAAAAGAGAATCAATAAAAATACTTTTAAATGACTGCTGCCAGCTTTAAAAACATGACTAATTTGCTGAACTACAACAGCTCAACTCACACCACCAGGATGTCCTTGGTCTTCTCATTAAAAAAGAAAAAAGCTGAACAGCAACTGCAAACCCTTACAATTTCGTCTTCAGGCTGCAAGAAGAGGCACAGCCAGTATCAAATATTTTTCAAATACAATTCGCTTGGTAAAACACCTGTGTATTTTTAGACTGCAGGGAATAGTGAGACAACCCATCCAGGGAGCTAGACCTACAACTCAAATTAGCCAAGGGGAAGGCTCTGAAAGCTTGCCTCTCCTCCTAGCATCTTCCTGGCTTTTACACGTTCCATGGTTTCGTCTTCATTGGCACGTTCTTTAAAAGCTACTTATGGGAAAAACAAGTTCAAGTTATAATTAGTTACTTTGTAAAAATTCTGATAAGGCTGTCAAAATAAAAATTAAATGACTACAATCAAAATTTGTAAATTTTTGCCTATTTCAACTCTTATCTCAATGGAGAAAATGAAAGATGGCCATTCTTGAAGACTTTAAAGGAAGCATTATTTCAACAAATGGGCTCTCTTTCTCTTCAACCCTGAGAAAGAGTATCTCCACGTTGGAACTAAACGACTTATGGTAAAGTCATAAATTCTAGCTCCCTTCTACCTGTGAGCTGAGGTGAACCCTACTGTCCATTCTGCCTCAGTTTCTTGAACATCAATGACTGACTTCACACCGTCTCAGCTAAGAACTCAGAGACGCTGCCCCAGCTGATGGGCCAGAGCGCCTAGGATCCTGCGCAGGAGGACGTGGTAAGCATTCCCACAGACTGCCCCAATCTCCTCATCTGCTCCTACAGAGACTGCTAAGGAGATAAGCGCAGAAACCTCAAATGTGCTCATTTAACCTCTGAGGCCGGCAAACGAGCATCAGAAAACCTCCTGGCTTGAATCATAACCACACGTGAGCGTAGCCCACATTCTGGCAAAGCCTAAGCCACTGCACCGCCTTCCTCAAGGGTTCCTCGAAGCATTTTACCCCAAAACAGCACGGGCTGTCATCCATGTGCAATCTGAACCACTCCTACTTTAGCACGCTAGTATTCCTACATGATAATTAAGGGATCCAAAAGCGCAGGCCCACGGGGCTTTTCTTTTTTTTAGTATTTTTAATGTATTTTTCCAGGGCTCCTCCTCCACTCTCATTTCCTCCTGACTTGTGCTCACCAGAGAGTTCATGTACTCTTGATAAATTGCTTTCTTATATCCACAGTGGAAAGGCCCTTATCATCTGCCCGCTGGCTTCATTCAACACATGTACTCCCAGGAATACTTTGTCAAAGAGTTCGGGTTTCCTCGTACTTCATTTCTTGCAGCCGATTTGTCTGATCTTTCCTATTCTAGTGGTTAAGTCAACTTTGAATAAATAGCTTTAAAAATTAATTTAACGTTTGGGAAAGATAAGGGATTCATAAGCGTAGAGATTGAAGTTTTCTCTCACTCCACAGGGCATTTAGGCTGCAGAAAAAGCAGCAAGGAGGTACTATACTCCCTGTTCTTCAAGTACAGTTTAACTCCACAGCCTTCCCCTGAAATCACCCCATCTACTTACAGAATCTAGCGACAAACAGAGGAAAGCTGCTTCTCCTGTTTCCCTCCAGCAGCTCTTTTGAACCTCACTAACCACTTCTTTAGAAATCACCATGGCTCTGGCCACAACACAGGTGACACCACGAGGACGGCACAGGGGCAAAAGCACTTTCCGTGCAGGCGTGTGGCCCTCCATGCCTCTGTGTGCGGCACACAGGCAAATGCATTCAAGTGCCAAGGGACGTGGCACTCCCGTCTCCAAACTCACTAAGAAAGGTGATTGTTTTCAAAGATGAAAAGAGAGAACAGGAGATGGCTCAGTAGAATAAGCACTTCCCTGGCAAGCACAAGGGCCTGAGTTCAATCCCTGGTTCCGCCAAAAAAAGAAAGAAAGATGAAAAGAGCAAAACGGTGGTTGCAGGTACAGAAAAAAGGGAAGTTGTTCAAACAATTGTTAAGTGCAACAGGTATTTTCCTTTAAACACTTTATGGAACACTAGAGAGTAGAATTATAATATAGAAATCACCTATCTTTTCTTCCTAAATCTGCCGTATGTGTCAAGAAGTAGAAAGAAATACTGTGACAAAACCTAAGTACAGTCCACAGCAAGAGTCAACAATTTATTCTGTATGGCCCAATAATCACTGTTTTAGGCCTGTGGGTCATATATTCACGCTCACAGCTACTCACCTGTGCTGTTACAGCAGGAAGGGGCCAAGGATAGATAAGGCCGCAACTAAGGGATATATAGGTCTGTGATTCAGTAAAACTTTATCCCAACAGGCATCTGGCCAGCATTAGGCCCTGATATAGAAGATAAAATTTTAGGCTAGATAGATGAATAAAGTCAATACCAGTACTGGTGGTGGAAAACCCTTAAAAGAAAATACTCTAATTTAGGCAGCAATTATCTGTATGAGTCATAAATAAGTGTGTGAAAGAAATTTAGCCAGTCTACAGAAATCATCCCTAGATTTCAACATGAACATCAAACCTCAAGTTTCTCAAATGTACCAAAATGTTCTGCCTTATGGCTACAGAGTCACACTGAGTCACCAACCCAGCTGTGGCAACTTGAAGGAAAGTATTCTTGGAGGACCAAAAGGTAAGTTACGGCTTCTTAGCGTCATAATATCTGCAAACTGAGGCTGAACTGCTGCCAAATTTTACATGTTTGAATGTTGATAGAACATTCAGATCTAAAACAGACAGATCGAGGAGTATGACAAACGCCAGCATGGTGAGAAAGAGCGATACAGCCCGGTCCCTGAGCATGACCTGTTCAGGAACAGGCAAGGAAGAGACAGGGGCCAGGCAGGCAGGCAGGCAGGCAGGCAGGCAGGCAGGCAGGTAGGCAGGCAGGCAGGCCGGCCGGCCGGCCGAACGAAGAATCTGGTAGATCTAGTGGGAATTTCTTTTCTTTCCTCTAAATTTGTAGTTACTACAAATGTTTGAGAACATAAATACACAAGTTAGTTTGCAAGGTAATCTATAAAAGAACAGTATTGGGCCAGGGAGATGACTCAGTAGAATAAGTGCTTCCCTGGCAAGCACAAAGGCCTGAATTCAATCCCCATTTACACAAAAAACAAAACAAAAACAAAAACCAGTATTAATATTATAATTTAACCTACACGATTTGGTGGTGCTTCCAACAGGAGCCTTTCACCTCACCTGAGCCAGTATAAGCTCCTCTCTCTCATCCTTTCCTCCCACCTTTGTCCCCCACTCCTTGAAGCAGCGTCCTGTAACTTGAAACTAAGAAAGTCCCAACCAGCTGGATGTGGTGGCGCACAACTGTAATCCCAGCGCTCGGGAGGCTGAAGCAGCAGGACCACCTTGAGTTGAAGGCCAGCCTGGGCTATATAGTAAGAAGCTGTGCCAAAAAGAATAAAAAAGTCCCGATGAACACAGTTACCTTTCGGGCCACTTCTCCTGCTAGATCCATGTAGTTGAAGTTGCTGCCAGTGTTTTAACAAAAGCTATATTATTTCTAGGCCAAGTGCAGTTCATAATTTCTGCAATGATCGGAATGAGGAGTATCCTAAACAGTTTCTCATCTTTAAAAGAATTTACAAAGAATGATGTCTTCAACAGCAATGATGCAAAATAATGGTGATTGAGATTCGCTAAAGGAAATGATTACTTCAGCATCATTCTGTGTTAGGTACCATTCTAGGGGCTCATAACTATCATCTGAAACCTTTTAATTAAAAACACACACAGGGGGGCTGGTGAGATGGCTCAGTGGTCTAAAGCACCTACTTAGAACAGGCTTAGCAAAGTACAGGGACCACGGTTCAATCCCCAAGCACCACATGCCAGCCAGCCCCGCCCCCTGGTGGGCTGAGCTGGCCACACACACACACACACACACACACACACACACCACACACACACACACACACACAAATAAATAAAAATTTAAAAAAATAAAAAAAATAAAAACACACACAGGTATTCTGAGATCACAGGCGCAGAGGGGTTAGGGAATCAGCCTAAGGTGACTTACAATTTCAATTCTGTTCCTGACACATGTTCAGATAAACAGTCCATATGGAAATTTCGAGCCTTCAGCATGCTGGCAGTCCCTTACTCCCAGTAATCTGGGCTTCGTGCCCATTACTCTGCTGAAGCAAGCATTTCAAAGGTCACCAACATCTGACTTACACTGAAATGCAATAGCTTTTTATTATTATTATTATTATTATTATTACCATTATTATTATTCTCCATGATCTCTCCAAAGCAACTGACCTGCTGGTTACCATTTCTCCTAACATGTTCTCCTCCTCCACTGATGCAGAGATTCATTTGTTCGCCAGTACTAATTAACTTACCAGTGAAGTAGGTACCGTATATTGATAAAAACATTATGCCACAGCTTGCACCCTGAAAGGCAGACAGATGCAGGCAGTACACATGCTATGCATGCAACTTGACACAGCACTGTAGCACAGGAAAAGGAAGGCTGCAGAAGGTCAGGTGAGAGAGGAGGACAGCAGCACAGGCAGAGGCAGCCAAGGCAGCGGCTCGCAATCCCTGCGTGCATCAGAGTCCCGCCGGGGCTGGGCCGCACCACCACCTGAGTTCCTGCTCCGGGGCCCGAACGGGGCCACATGTCTCTAGAAGACACTGATGCC